CGATATTTTGAACTTACTACCCCTCTAGCTAGTTCGAAATGATCATATCAACAATCTATTTGAAGTGGTTAAATCAGCTAATATATTATTTACCGAGTTCTCAACTAAAATATGTCATTTACAATTATATGTTAAATTTACTGAAACACATAAGTTAGGCTTACACTGACGTGGGGTGCTATCCTCACATAATAAACAGGAAATCCTTACAGAAAATTGAAGGTACTGAAGTTCCTAAGAGTCTTGAGGGCGCAGTCCAGTGACCCGGTGTACGGATATTTCCCTGTTTCATCTAGCTGCATTTTATGTATTTGCGTTTTAATATAAACAAATGGTAAGCTACAAGCTCCTGCGAAAAAACTTGAAACAGTGCTCAACCCCGCAGCAGGGAGCGGTAAGCATATTGGTTAGCTTTTAGGATACAGAATACAAGTTTAAATCGATGAACAAATAATAAAACAACGTTAAAGTTGCGTGGAATTCTCCTCTCTCGCAAAAAAAAAAAAAAACAAACAGTGTTTACCAGCTCAATTATGAAGAAATTTTCAAAATCGTCTCAACAGAATTTTTTTTTTAAGAAATAGACCACATTCACTTTTAATTATAGAAATCAACCCACTTTGAGTTAATTGCGGTACTAATTAGTTGGGGTTACCAATCCCGACTAATTAGTAGCCTAATTACAAGCGGGGTTAAGGAGCGGGGAAGGTTTGCGGCAGCTAATTAGGCTACTAATTAGTCGGGGTTGGCAACCCCGACTAATTAGTACCGTAATTAACTCAAAGTAGGTCGATTTCTATAATTAAAAGTGAATGGGGTCTATTTCCTTAAAAAAAATTCCGTTGAGGCGATTTTGAAAATTTCTTCGCTCAATTATACATACATATGCACATAATATGTAGGGGTTTTTGTCTTTTACCCCAAAGTTTTACTCCAACGTATTTTTAGACCCACAGACTTATAAAATGCCTCTTAAACCCAAAAATACAAAGATCATTTATTTTTAAACCCAAGTCTTCATAATACGTCTAAGTATACAGTATATACATATTCAATCATAATTAATGTAAGTAACCATAGTTCCATGACTGGGCGAATAGGATTATTGGTCAGTGTATTTATCTTATAATTGAACGTTTATGCCCATGTTTTAATTGTTTGGATGACTGGTTGTGTTATTAAATAGTAATTGGATCGTTAATCACTTTTAATATTTTTTTGCAAATTAACATAGTGAATTTTCGTTGACATGATATAAAAAAGTCTTGATCATTCAACATAATGGATCTATACATGTGCGTAATACCTTGATCACTAATGAAAATGATAATTGTGACATATCGGGCAACTTGTATTGAGTAATTATATTGCAGTTGATATTTTGTTCTTGAAAATATTAACTCGTGACATATTTAGTAAGATATATTGCTAAAAATAAATGAAGATATACAACTCAAATTGCCGGAAAATGTTAGAAGTGACTAATAATAAAATTAATATTTAATTACATGAGTGGCCATCCAAGCAATCAAATATAAGAATGAATATCTACTTATGAGATAACTACAGTGACTAGTGATCCAATTAACCTCCTTCACTGTGGCAAGAGGAAAGCCTCTATGTAGACTTTATCCCAGGTCATTTTGGAAACAGTAATAATAGAGAAAACCCAGAGCTAAACTCATCAAAAGTAACTGTTCAGCACAAACCACCAAGCATCAAAGATAATAAAATGTAAATTCTCAATGAACAAGTAAATATTGGGAAAACATTCCCTCTGGAATCAAATGAATCCATATATAATTTAAAAGAAACAAGAATCGGATCCTAGATATCCTCATAACTTAAAGTACAAGGCTCTCCCAAGCCTCAACTGGGGCAAAAATTTGATATCTTATTTTAAAATTCATAATCTTGCTTCAAACAAATCTGTAGCTGAAGTACCTAGAATCCAATGGCTTTCTGAAACTTCTCGATTTGATTTAAAAATATCCAAACCATCTGCAAATTTTCAACCAACAGTTAACAAGAAGGGCAAAAAAGAAACAGGTTATACCGATGGGTTAGTTGCACATAAACCCTCTCTAGTGTTGATGTTTCAATCTTACTGCCCCTGTAGTTTCATTGTTGCAGATGGATCCTCTGGTTAAAATTTTGACTCTTTTACCCTCAGATTGATTCGCTAATTTCACCCATTAGCAGTATCTTTCAAAATTTCACTCAGGGTGAAAGATTCAAAAAAATTAACCAAGGCGGGACTATGGTGGTAGTAAGTTCAAAACAACAATTCTACAGGGAGTCTGTGCAAATTACCCTATATTGAGATTTTATTGCTTTTTTCTTAGGCTTACCATGACATGGGGGGCTATCCTCACGCAATAAACAGGAAATCCTGTATAGAAAATTAAAGGTCCTGAAGTTTTGAGAGTCTTGAGGGCGCAGTCCAGAGACCCGGTGTATGGATATTTCCCTGTTGTATCTGGCTGCATTTTCTGTATTTGTGTTTTAATATAGTCAAATGGTAAACTGCACGCTGCTGCGCAGAAACCTGAAATGGTACTTGACCCTGCAGTAGAGGGCTAATTTCGTTAGGCTTTTCTATGGAGAATATAAGTTGTAGATCAATGAACCAACAAAAAACTAATGTAAAGTTTTGTGGACTTCTCCTTTATCTCGACAACAAGTCATACATACATGAGCATATGAATATGAACATATGTATGTTGTACATGCATATGCACATATGTTTCATAAATGGATGTGCACATACGTACGTAAAGCCCATCCAGCATGCTTTTTTTCACAAGGCCACCAAATAGCATGCTATCTACTATTATGAATTTATGATACATGAAAGCATATACTCGTTGCTACGGCATTTTCTCAAAGAAAAAAATTTCAGTCTATGATGTTTTCTTATCAGAGAAAATGCCAGTTATAGAGGCAACAGATCCATGTAAACTTGATCAGCAAGGCCGGTTATGCTGCTAAGTACTTTTCTAGTCATCAAGTGCGAACGCTTAACTAGCGACCTCAATAAAGTACAAGTATCATACGTAGAAAGGAACAAAAGAAGGAGTCTTATATATTAGTATTTTGATTTTCAAGATTCTTAGGTTATTTTCCAGAGTCGGTCATGCAGATTTTGAGTGCCTTCCATGACTTACGAGGTCTTGCGGGATATTTTCGGTTTTCAAGTCAAGTATGTGTTGGTCCACCTCATGTGTTCACGTGGGCCAGCAAGAAAAAAAAAGGTGGAGATCACATGGGACAACAATCAAAGAACGAAAGATTGGGTGGGCATTTTTGCTCTGTCAAAAGTTGCGGCTCATCTCGTTTCTTTCTCTTTGTCAAACATGTGGGTCGGCAAGTAAGTAGAAGGACGTCAGGAAAAGAAAGAAGGTCAGCAAAGGGACCCACGTACTTTTGACAAATTGGAAGATGTTGAACGAAATTCAAGGCGAATTTCGAGGAGAGAGGAGGCCGGTTTCTTCTATAAATAGAAGACGCTTCGTTCATTTTTCAATCATCCAAAAAACAAGAAACAACAAAGTGAGAGTCTCAGAAACAGAGAGTTTATCTGAGAGAGAAAAATAAAGAGCCAATTTGTGAAGTTCTATCCACAAATTAAAGTTGTGTTGTTAGCCAATTTTGTGAGAGATCCACCTAAGAGTGAAGTGTGTAACCCCATTATTATTATAGTAGAAGTTTTTAAGTGGCCTATGGGTCCCGTGGTTTTTACCTCTTTTTGGAGGGTTTTCCACGCTAAAAATCTTTGGTGTTATTTTTGTCTCATTTAGTTGGGAAAATTATCATGGGATTTGTCAATCTTTCCCAACAAAGTGGTATCAGAGCAAGGCAGGCTCAGGAGGCAAGAAAAGAAGATCATATACCACACTGGTATATACGTATATACGGTGACTATTCATACATATGTCACTATTCATCACCGGAGCACTATTCATCACCGGAACATTGTTCACTTTGGAATACGGTTCACATTACTGTTCACGGGTGCTATTCATTGACCCAAAAAATTTCAAGCTCGGCGAAACTCGTTGACTAGCCAGTCAAATGGAGAACACCAACACCGGTAATATGATCAAGCTGACTGTATTTAATTATGCAATTTGGAAGCCAAAGATGGAGGATCTTTTGTACATTAAAGATCTGTGGAAGCCAATTGTAATGCCAAAGGAGAAAGCGGTGACTACAACATGTGACAAAACAACTAGCACCTCGGAGGCTACATCAGATGCTGACTGGGTCATGCTAAATCGAAAGTGTGCTGCTCAAATCAGACAATGGATCGACAAGAGCATTTTCCAAAATTTTGCTAATGAACACGATGCTCACGTTCTTTGGCAAAAATTAGAAAAAATGTATGCAAGGACAACCGCACAGAATAAAGCTAATCTGATGCGACGATTAGTCAATTTGAAGTATAAAGACGGGAGCAGCGTATCGGAACACATGAGTGAGTTCCAAGGCATCGTAGATCAGCTCAACTCTATGAAGATGACCGTAGACGACGAGTTACAAGCACTGTTGATGCTGAGTTCTCTACCAAAAAGCTGGGACACTCTAGTTGTGTCAGTTAGTAACTCTGCTCCTGACGAAAAGCTTACCATAGACATGGTAAAAGACAGGATGCTGAACGAAGAGTCTCGACGAAAAGACGAAGGATATGTTCTTGAAAATGAAGCGCTTGTTACAGAAAGACAAGGCAAGCAAGAATGGAGAGGAAGAAGCAAAAATCCCCGTAACCAAAATCAACAAAGAGGACGGTCAAAGTCCAGATCGATGCATGACAAGAAGTGTCATCATTGCGGCAAGCCAGGACACTTCATTCGAGAATGTCGAAAATTAAAGGCGAAAAAATCCAGAAATCAAGAGTTAGAAACCCAAACAAATGACACTGCAACTGTCACCGAAGAAGTTGTCATTGTTCGAGATGCTGATTATGTCAATCTTGCATGTCAAGATTCCACATGGGTAGTTGACTCAGGTGCTTCCTACCATGTCACCTCACGACGAGATTTCTTCTCAACCTACACTCAAGGTGATTTCGGACAAGTGAGGATGGGAAATGATAATGCATTCAAAATTATCGGCATCGGTAAGGTTTATTTAGAAGCTAACCTTGGATACAGGTTACTTTTGAAAGAAGTGAGGCACGTTCCTGTCTTCCTGATATCTGCCTCAATTTGATCTCCACCGGAATGCTTGATGATGATGGCTACAGTAATTATTTTGGTGAAGGAAAATGGAAGCTTACCAAAGGCAAGCTGGTAGTAGCCAAAGGCAAGAAAGATACAACACTTTACCTCACAGAAGTCAGGCTATGTAGAGGAGAAGTAAATACCAACCGGAAAGAAGTTCCCACCGAGTTATGGCATAAACGGCTCGGCCACATGAGTGAAAAGGGTCTCAGAATTCTTTCTAAGAAGGAGCTCTTGCCAGGAATGAAAGGTACACCCTTGCGTACTTGTGTTGATTGTATTATGGGAAAACAACACGGAGTTGTATTTCGTAGTTCCCCACCATCTAGAAAAGCAAATATTCTAGATTTAATACACACAGATGTCTGCACAATGAGTCATAAGTCACTAGGAGGTGCTCCTTATTTTGTGACCTTTATTGATGACCACTCTAGAAAAGTGTGGGCCTTTGCTTTGAAAACTAAAGATCAAGTGTAGGAAGTCTTTAAGGAGTTTCATGTAAAAGTTGAAAGAAAAACTGGCAGACGTTTGAAGTGTACGTACAGACAATGGTGACGAGTATTGCGGACCATTCGAGAAGTACTGCAGAAGTTTCGGCATCAGGTTGGAAAAATCAGTACCAAAGACATCTTAACACAACGATGTAGCAGAAAGGATGAACATGACCATTTGTGAAAGAATCAGATGTATGCTCTCAAATGCAAAATTACCAAACTCCTTTTGGGGGGTAGGTAATGAGGACAATAGTCGATTGAATCAACATTTCTCCATCAGTTCCACTAAACTATGACGTACCAGAAAAAGTCTGGATGGGGAAAGATGTTTCTTACAAACACTTGAAAGTATTTGGCTGCAGGGCATTTGATCACATCCCAAAAGACGAGAGGTCCAAGTTGGATGGAAAATCTAAGCAATGTATCTTTTTGGGATATTCTCATGAAGAGTTCGGCTACAGATTTTGGGATCCTATTAACAAAAGGATTATCAGAAGCAGAGACGTGATATTTCTTGAAGATCAGACGCTCGAGGATTTTGAGAAACCAGAGAAGCCACAATCAGATAAAATTCCAGTGAATTTAGAACCAGTCTCTCCACCAACAAATTCTGATGAAGGAGGAGCTACACCAGATACTAATGATGTTCCACCAGCTCGTAGTCCAGAACCAGAGTAAGCTCCTGAACAAGTCCAACCAGAAGCACAGCTAAGGAGATCCACTAGAGAGCGACAACAAAGTCGTAGATATTCTCCTAACGAGTATGTGATGCTCACTGACGGGGGAGAACCGAAGAGCTATGGTGAAGCTATCACTGACCAGCACAAGACTGAGTGGTTAAAAGCTATGCAGGAAGAAATAAAATCTCTACATGAAAATCACACATTTGACCTGGTGAAATTACCATAGGGAAGGAAAGCTCTCAAGAACAAGTGGGTGTACAGGATCAAAAGTGAAGAAGGCTGCTCGCAACCACGTTATAGCAAGACTGGTTGTGAAAGGATTCGAGCAAAAAAAGGGTGTTGACTTTGATGAAATATTCTCACCAGTGGTCAAAATATCTTCAATCCGAGTTGTTCTTGGCTTGGCAGCTAGTCTCAATCTAGAAGATGAACAACTTGACGTAAAAACGCATTCTTACATGGTGATCTTGACGAGGAAATTTACATGGAGCAGCCCGAAGGTTTCCAAGTCAAAGAGAAGGAAAATATGGTATGCAAACTTAAGAAGAGTTTATACGGTCTGAAACAGGCACCTAGACAGTGGTACAAAAGTTCGACTCGTTCATGGAGAAAAATGAGTACAACCGAACGACGGCTGATCACTGCGTCTTCATTAAGAAATTCTCTGATGGTGATTTTATCATTCTTTTGCTTTATGTTGATGACATGTTAATTATAGGTCAAGACTTCGGCAAAATTAACAAGTTGAAGAAAGAGTTGAGCAAGTCCTTTGCAATGAAGGACTTAGGACCTGCAAAGCAAATTCTTGGCATGATGATTACTCGCAACAGGCAAAATCCAAGAATCTGGCTATCTCAAGAACGCTATGTTGGAAAAGTTCTTGAAAGGTTCAACATGAGCAAAGCTAAACCTGTTAGTTCTCCACTGGCAAGCCACTTCAAGCTTATTACGAGACAGTGTCCTTCAAGCGAGGAGGAGAAATCAGAGATGAGCAAGGTGCCTTATGCATCGGCAGTTGGTAGTTTAATGTACGCTATGGTATGCACCATACCAGACATTGCTTATGCTGTGGGCATTGTGAGCCGATTCCTATCAAATCCTAAAAAAGAACATTGGACAGCAGTAAAATGGATACTCAGGTATCTCAAAGGTACTTCCAGTCATTGTTTATGTTATGGTAATAATGAACCTGTATTAGAAGGATATACAGATTCAGATATGGCTGGCGACGTGGATACGAGAAAGTCTATATCCGGGTACCTAATAATATTTGCAGGGGGAGTTGTCTCATGGCAATCACGATTACAAAAGTGTATTGCCTTAAGCACCACAGAAGTAGAGTACATCGCAATCACTGAAGGTTGCAAGGAGATCCTGTGGATGAAGAAGTTTCTACAAGAATTAGGTCAGAACCAAGAAAATTATATTCTCTATTGCGATAGTCAGAGCACAATTCATCTCAGCAAGAACTCGACCTTCCACTCAAGGTCCAAACACATCGACGTGAGGTATCATTGGATTCATGATATGTTGGAAAATAAACTACTGGAAGTTGAAAAGATTCACACCAATGACAACGGGGCAGATAGCATGACGAAGACTCTGCCTAGAAAAAAGCTTGCTATCTGCAGCGAGATTGCTGGTATGGAGGACCCCTGTCACACATAAGGTGAAGGGGGAGATTTGTTGGTCAACCTCATGTGTTCACGTGGGCCAGCAAGAAAAAAAAGGTGGAGATCACATGGGACAACAATCAAAGAACGAAAGATTGGGTGAGCATTTTTGCTCTGTCAAAAGTTGCGGCTCATCTCGTTTCTTTCTCTTTGTCAAACACGTGGGTCGGCAAGTAAGTAGAAGGACGACAGGAAAACAAAGAAGGTCAGCAAAGGGACCCACGCACTTTTGACAAATTGGAAGATATTGAACGAAATTCACGACGAATTTCGAGGAGAGAGGAGGCCGGTTTCTTCTATAAATAGAAGACGCTTCGTTCATTTTTCAATCATCGAGGAGAGAGGAGGCCGGTTTCTTCTATAAATAGAAGACGCTTCGTTCATTTTTCAATCATCCGAAAAACAAGAAACAACAAAGCCGGTTTCTTCTATAAATAGAAGACGCTTCGTTCATTTTTCAATCATCCGAAAAACAAGAAACAACAAAGCGAGAGCCTCAGAAACAGAAAGTTAATCTGAGAGAGAAAAATAGAGAGACAATTTGTGAAGTTCTATCCACAAATTGAAGTTATGTTGTTAGCCAATTTTGTGAGAGATCCACCTAAGAGTGAAGTGTGTAACCCCAATATTATTATAGTAAAAGTTTTTAAGTAGCCTACGGGTCCCGTGGTTTTTACCTCTTTTTGGAGGGTTTTCCACGCTAAAAACCTTTGGTGTTATTTTTGTCTCATTTAGTTGGGGAAATTATCCTGGGATTTGTCAATCTTTCCCAACAGTATGTTGGTTCTATGATTATATCTATAATGTATTTGAAGTGTTTAAATCACTTAATATACTATTACCGAGTTCTCCTCAATTAAATATGCCCTCATAGTCATGTGTAACTGACCAATTGCTTTTAAGTTTTATGTAAGCATCATAAACACGTGAAATCCACAAAACCAAATGGGTTAATTGCAGGCTTGCAGCTGACTGGAAAGTGTTGCTATCTTCTTAAGAAACAATATTGTTTACAAGATTCTCTACTAAGGAGTAGATTATCGAAAGAATAAATAGATTTCACTATCATATTAAAGGAACGTATGTAATTCACTCGTATACAAAAACTTCTTGTGCTACTTCTGTCTGACAGATTTTGATTTAAAAAATTATAACATACAATTTTTTTTAGAAACAAATACCAGTTACATTTTTTCCCAAGTATTTCATTAGTTAAATGCCATAAGATGACCAATAATATATAATTCACTGATATCAGATAAAAGAGAAGTTATTAAGACAGTAGACCAAATAACCATGAGAATCCAACAAAAGGTTTCCCCATTTCCACCACAAGCTGGATAAAGATTTTAGATTTATTGAGTCATGTTCAAGCATATGAGGCATGGTACATTACAAACCCTTTTTCTTCTATTCTCTATTATTAGTTTAGGATTTGATGCATGAGTACAGAACACTCATTCAAGGGTCTCATCATGTAAGTATTAGAATCCAAAGGGTTCTAGCCCTACCAAATTATACTTTCCAAGCATCCCACACATCAAGATATTTATAGCCTTTCCCAGCTAAAATAAAGTTAGCATGTGATAAATAGCGTCTAAATGACATCTCCAAACTATACAACATAATTTTGATTAACTTCCAGTATTCAAATTATCTATAATCCTTGATAATATATCTCCTCTGATATTCCTTTTTTTTTGTCATGATGTTTTTATGTTACGGTTGCCCGATCAAATCTTTAGACTGTTGTATGGTTCCAAGCAGAGGTTTCCCTTGACAAATTGCTAGTGTGTTGAGGATCAATTATCCATTTTTGAATGCTAAACTTTAATAGATGAGAGAAAAAGTGTTGTTATACTTGTTCAATAAATCATATGTTTTGTGGAGTTTTTCAACCTCCAAGTTGTACGATAAATTTCTTTAATGATGCATAATCATATATATAGTAATATTTGGAGCGTAACTAAAAACAGTCCTGGGTGAAATAACTAAAGTTTCGTAGATGTACATGGAAGTCTTGATCCATTCAATAGTAGCATATCCTATTATTTTGATGTTGCCGCAATCAAATCAATATTGTCATAATATACTTGAACCTCATATCTTTATCAATGTATAAGTAAATCAGAAATAAACAATAAAAAATGACAAGTTTTTAAGATCTAGGAAGTAATTCTTGTAAGAAAATTAAAACCAAAGTTGAGTAGAAAATTTTGGCTATAACAACTTTTCCTTGGCCATCCTGAATAAACTTTGCGAAACTTCATTAACAGTTCGTACTGTCAGAAACATGTGGTATCAGAAGAAGATATTCCAACCTTTCCCATAGCATAACAAGACATGCGACAATAAGCCTTTACATCATATTCAACATTTCAACATACATATGAGCTGCAATGCCTACCGAGGCTTCTTCACTACCATGTTGTACATTATTGCCATGCATCACCTTGTTTGTAAGAGATGCGACTCCTATATTTATGTGATTATTCATTATTTGTCCTTTTTATAACACATGTTCATTTATTGAATCTAATATTAGCTGCATTCTGTCTTTAGACTCTATTTCATTTATATACAAACCCATAAAAAGATTTTATTTTAGATGTGTTGAAGGTCCTTAAAGTCAAACCCGAAAATTTAGTTTGCTCTGACAAAATACTTTGGGCCTGAGTGCTCAGGGGAAGACTGTACATGTGCTACACACTGGTCCAGAATTTAAGAATGAATCCATTACTACTGGATAGATCAAAGCAAAATTTTCCTGCACCTCATACATAATGTGAGCTCTCCTCAAATTTCATTGAATCATGGCAGCACAGTTATCTACTCAAATCCAGAACAAGATTTATATGTTATCAAAAATTCTATTATCTTCCATGAAATATAACATGACTGATTATTTACTTTTTCTATCTTTTTATTGCCTGGACCAACCTGCAAAATTTTTCCTTGATTAGACATCACAGAACTTTAACTCGCCTCACTTATCCAAAATGCTTCATCTATGGGGTTGAAAATATCAAATAATCTCAAATCTACACGTGGAGGAGAGCGAAAAAATGATTATAAACCTCTATGCAGTTGTAGATTATGGATATGCTGCGAGGACAATTAAATCACTGCATGCACATTTAGCTTCAAATATCAATATATCAATTAGCTGTGGAAGTTTAGTATCATACCAATTACTGTGGTAACTTCACCGCAACCAAGCTGGTCCCTGAAAACCTCTATGCACTGTTCATATGAAGCAAGCATGCCCATATTTAGTGACATTGCCCTCACTACTGTTGGACCGGCACCTTTCCAGAGTGATAGTACTCCCTCATCGGTGACGATTTTAGAGAGTGCATGGAAGGCATTCTTGTAATTTCTCCTCTGAGCTGGTGGTAAAGTATTATCAGCTTGCATTCTGATGAGCGCCAAATCAGATGGACTGCCGAAACATGCTCCAATTGCTCCAGCTGTCAGCCCAATAATTGCTTTCTGAAGAAGTGGGAGGGGCTTCCCATCATTAGCCTCAACGGCTTTTTTTGTCAATATCCTACCAACAAGTCAACAGTCATTGGAATGAAAACAATTCATTTTTAAAAAAGAAGTCAATTTAAAAGATTCAATTGTTAGTGGAATAATTGGTGGAATACAGTGGTGGTCAGTTTGCAACTCAAGCACCTAAAGATGTGATATGTGCTTAAGTTTAATATAGGTCATCCATAGAAATTTTTTTACTAAACATGTTATATTACATGAATTCTAGGCAAGATATTTTCCAACCAGGATACAAGTTTCTGACTGAAAAACTTATAAAAGATAAGAAACAGAAAGCAATTAAGGATACTAAAAAATATAAGTAGTAAAGCACTAAGCAACACTGAAGTGAAGGTGTCCATCAACTCAATGAATATACATTATACAGTTATCCCGCATGAATGTGTTTGGTCCCGTCCTCATATCTACACGCTCACTGAATCATATTCAATATTAGCACCCACATAGTTTAGAACTAGTACATTTTCTGCTATACATTGTATAGATTATGACTTTATGTCCATCCTTGAAGCAGTCCGTAGTCCAACCTTACAATATCCACCACCTGTTACCCACTATACACTCCAAAAAAATAAAAAAAGGCAAGTCTGGTTGTATTGAACATTTGGGTACCTGGGTACCTTGACAGTGTACATTTAAGATGAAAAAAAACTAGATAGCAACCAAAAAAAGATACTGAAATTCAAAGATAATAACATGTTATCTGACTTCCTAAAATCGATATGCCTTTATACATGTTAGGGGTCTGAAAGGACCACTAATATATGTGTTGGATGCATTGTGTGCATGAGTGAGGACTTGATTCAGATAAATGTCCGACTGGCATAAAGAATGATTTACACTAGAGAAGGAATGAAAGTATAAATCTTACATATTCCACATGAATATGACCTCGATTTCCCTAAATAATACTTTTCGTTATATGGACTGCTGGTCGAAACAAAATATTGGTTGTCTTTGAATCATTGAAGGGTGTCCTCTTCATTGCAATGAGGATGCGTTAGATATATTATTATTTCCTCGAACTTCTACACATTATTTCTACTTTTACTGCTTTTATATTGTGGTAATCACAAATTCAGATTGATCTGCCTTTATTATGCTCTTCTCATTCAAAAAGCATATGGCTACTGTCCATAATGAAAAGGAGCTGTTTTCCTGCTAGAAGAATAAAAACTCTACGTGATAGTAAATGAAATACCAATAACACGTTGAGAAAATGCTCCATGCAACAGATGAACTCATACTTAAAGGTTCCAAGTCGTGATGTCGTGTAAGTAGCCTGTCTTAGTAAACCAGCTGATAAACCCTGGAAAATGAAAAAAAGATAAAGGTCAGAGAGTATCTAAATTATCCTTTGAAGATAGTTAAAAGTATTTTGACCACAGAACCAAGATTTATGCAGGTCTTGTACAGTCACAGATGCAATTTATTTCGGATTAAAATCATAGCAGTAGTAAGATATCAAATATTACATGTAATGCAAGAAAATAACTTGTGTACATACTTTCTAAAGATTTTATCTGAGAGAAGATTATACATAATGATGTAACTTGCTTAAGGTAAAGTAAATTGAAGTATAATTGAATTTAGACAAATAACAGCCAAAGCAAAACAGTAAGCAAAATTGGAAGATGAAGATCAAGCTGAAAGAGTAGTTTCTCATCCATCCATCTCCTGGAAACATAAACTAAATAAAATTAGGACCAATCAGTTAAGTCAACTGAAAAAAATAGTTAAACCAATTTTAATGGAAGGATGAAAAATTTGCAACTGTTTGAGGTCTTTTGTTCACTAGAATCAGGACAGATAAATTCTGCAGAGAGTTTTTGTAAGTTCACCCTTCGTTGGTTAAATTAACAACTATTATTTGCTGTTTCTATTTTGACTCCATCCATGTTCCGTTAGCTTTACTTATCGTCCTCATTGTTACTGATCATATGAGCCTAACAATTCTTCTAATTGGTGTTATTGGCCTTTGTTGCATATGCGGAAACAAATTACTTCCTTATTCTATATATTAGCATATCGTCTATAACCCACCTGGGCATTTTAGTTTATGCTATACCCATCTTTGTGGATAAGCCGTTACTTAGTTGCCCAAATCTTTGACTATAAAGCATTGTTGTCTTATAAGTGACCTTTTTCAAGTTCTCCTTCATTTCATGGGTATTTTCTTAATCACCTGGAAGAAGGGGAAAAAAGAACTCAAAACTTCTACTGAGAAATAGTGCACAAAGAAACTTTTAGATATCATATTTTATACATCTCTAGGAAATGATTTGGGATAGATCCAAATGTAAAACATACTGATATGAAAAGATATTGATTTCTTAAAATGTTAAAACTACCATAATATGGGCTTCACTGGAAGATGTCGTATTACACCATGATGATGTATAACTTAATATGTAGAGGACCCAATTGTGTCCCCTGTCCATGCCATTAATTTTAAAATCATGTACACATTATCTTACATTGAAGTTTTAGTTTTGCATTAGCTTGGTGCATAATAATAATCCACAACCAAATAGCTTGAACTTTTGACTCAAAGGTCGACAAAGGGATTGTGAAATGTTAAGTTAGCTTGGCACATATTGTAAGCCAACAACCCGGTGACCTAATTAAGTTGTTGGGCAAAGTGATTCTCTACTGCTTAGGCTCTGGATTTTCTCACAAAACCTTACAAATATCCTTGACCAAATTTTATGTGAAGGTTGGAAGGAAAAAAACATAGATGTTCTGTGTAAAGTCTGGAGAAATTTATAATAGGAAAATGCATGTATTTGTTGAATAGCAAACCTTGTAAAAAGAGCCAAAACCCTCATGGGAAAGCATGGTCTTGGCAACATGGACAGCTGATCCCTGACCTAATTGGATCCTCACCTGGAACATCAAAAAATTTGTGGAATCAATTTGTCCATTGGAATGTTAATCTCTGACAATAATTGTTGCATATTTAAAATGTAAATTTTGCTACATATACCAGACTTTATTTCATCCAGTGAAACAAATGAGCGTTTTGAATGAAAAAGCTCATTGGTTAAAATGTTCTCCCTGGAATCTTCCCTCGCTTCATTGCCTTTCGATGGCCTGCTTCTATCCGACCAAATATTTAGGACTTCCATTAAGACAGGGCAACTTAGGAAGATGACTGGAGACCTCTTATTGACAAAGCGACAACAAGGTTAGAGGGTTGGAAAAGAAATTTTTGTTTCGTTGGGAGTATGAAGTGCCATGATTAATTCAGTCCTCTCAGCAATTCAAACTTTCTTTCTCCAGCTTTTTCAGCTCCCTTCATGAGTAGAGAAGCCACTTAATGTTGTGCGACGAAGATTCTTGTGGCAGGGATTTTCTAAAGAAAAACGAGGATATAGCGTAGTGCGTTAGGAACAGATCCAGAATCAATTTCTGGAACAATAACTGGTGTGGTTCACTGACTCTCTCCCAGGCCTTTCATTTAGTTTTCTCACAGGCGGTCAACAAAGCTGGTTATGTTGCATCATATAGAATGAGAGGCAGATGGAATACTACTGCCTCGATTGTCCATAATCAAGAGAGGAGGAAAGAGAAGGCGATACTATTGAAATTGCTTAGCTCGTTACAACCATTTTAATCTAACCTCAATGGTATACCAATCTAGACTGGCGTACCAAAAGAGTATTTATTGTTAGAGGAACTACAAGTTCCTTAATGACAGAGGTCTCAAAGTCTATTTGAAGTATAAAAGCTGCTCTTAAAGCGATTTTATTTGGTTGGTAGTCAAAAGTATCATCGTTGCTTTTCATTACATGATGAAATTGTACGGTTTTATATTCAAAAAGACAATTGAATAGCTCTTTTTTGAGATGACCTTATTGGCTAAGATGTGGGATCAATATTCTACTTTGTTCAAAATAGTTTAACACCTTCCTCAATTCAGGATTTGTGGATGGGATGGAGGAGCAACCTAGCAACCTTTTAAATATTGGATACTGGTGAAATATTAGATAACCAAATCCATACCTATTGCATATACTGGGGAAATATCGAGAATATGTAGTAAATATCGGAGTGTTGTATTGGCTGAGTGGATATATAAAACAATATCCTAAAATGTGATTGATGCATACTTAATGGAATCTAAGTATGCAAAAATATAAATAATATATGTTTAGGATCAATAATGAATTGTAAAACTTAGTTAGGGAAAACAGCAGACTATAAATTGCTATAAACCTTCGTATGGCTAGAATTTTTGCTAAAAAAATTAAAGAAATTTTGCAAAACTATATTGTTTAGCAATAAGCTATATAAAAGGACATATCGGCCTCCATGTCGGAGCTTTGCGGTAAGCATTGTAAAAGGATATATTGATCGGATATAGCAGATATATCAGTGATACTTAAAACAATGTGGAGGAGTCAGAATATGATTAAAAGTAAAAGATCATTTTGGAATATGGGTGTTGTTGTGATTAGTTGGGGCATTTGTGGGGAAAAAACAATAGATTGATTCTTCCGTGTAATGAATCATAGCACTGACACGGATGCCTCGACCTCAAAGGATCAGATATTGATATGGAGAAGCAGTACGATGGAGCATACATGTCTGGACTATTTTGGGATTCAGAACTCCTATGCACTATGGATCCTTTTTTTTGGCATCTAAAAAAAAAAGAAAAGAAAAAGAAAAAGAAAAAAAGACAAAACCATTAAAAAAACTATTCAATCAGCTATGTTTTGTTGGTACCCAAGTACATTTTTCTTCTTTCATAGGGTTTTCTTCCTTTTTGTTTCTATTTCATATTCGGCATAAATTTGTAAGGCTCGACTCTTTTAGTGTTGGTCAGTCAACTATATCAAGCACCGAAAGGTGACTTGCTTTCGGTGGCCGTATTGACATAGAGAGGGGTGGCTGAAGCTTGATTTTGTTGACAAAATCAAGCATGATTTTGTTGACAAATGGTGTATGTTTTTTCCTATATAAAGCATACGGGAGATAGAGAAAACAGATGAGCCTCTGAGTCTTCTTGAGATTTAGTATCAGAGCTTAAGAAATCAACGAGCAGAGCTTGAGAGACAGAGAGTGAAAGCCACACGAGAAATCTGTGAGCTCTCTATATTTTGTATGAGTGTTGTATGTTGAGAAAGAAATATAGTGATACACCCTCTTGCCGTGGACGTAGATCAATTTGATCGAACCACGTAAATATTGTGTTTGTGATTATTCTATTCTCTGGTTTAGTGGGTAATTTCCCCAACATTTAGCAACAATTGTTAGGTCCATCATCTTATGGTAATCTTAGCGCAATATCCAAGATTTGCAAAATTTTCTCCTTACTGTTAACACAATATCTATACATAACACATGCGCAAACTGATCAAATGCATTTGCCATCAAAATTTCAATTTTGACTTAGAAACCCCCATAAATGCCGTTTAATCTTCTCTTCTAATTCTCATTACACAAGACCCACTCCCTAATTATTGAATCAAAAACCCTTGCAACCAAATAGGGGGGGGGGGGGGGGCAATTTTCGGGGAGAAAAGTTTTCGATGTTCTTCGTTTACCTTGACCATGTCGACGGGCTGGATGATGACATGGCCCAGGCATTCCAGCGGCTCCAAGCCATGTGACGAAGGCTTCACTCGGCGGCCGCAAACTCCACGACTGGCCTTGCGGCTCCTTCCCATCCCCTGCTGACATTTTCCACTCTTTAACCTATCAATCTTTTAGTGTTAAAATTAAAGGAATGAACATCTACGATTTTATACAATATAATAATGACCACCATTTTTTATGCGCGCCGTTGCCAAGAAGCCCAAAAGTTCCGACTTGTAATACGTAACAACATTAGGTGGGGTCCCAGAAGATCCTTGTGTGTGGGGCCAATACGAGGTTTTGTTGAGGGTCCTACGCTACACATTTTGTATTACCCTTGTACTATTATTAAAATGATAAAATTGTCTCCTTTAAATTCGCATATTACTATTATAGCATTTCACGGCTAGACACTTTCACATATTCGAGTCTCGCATAAGATAGTATAAACCATTTATAGTCACATTGATCTAAAATACCGTCCCATCTTTACCTTGTACAAGAATCAACATTGGTTGACCTTCGATTGGAAAAATTTTATATCGAAAAATGTTATTTATACTCTCAAGTTCAAAGAGACCCTTCTATGCACATTCATACAGGACTGCTGACTTGGATTGTGATATTTACACCGTACAAGAGTCGACAAAAGGTTCCTACGGAGATTAACATCCAAGTAAGAAATATGCCATAGTCTTGTATTCTATAAATCGAACAAAATGAGAACTGTAAGAAGCTGTTATATTCTCCCCTGCCCACCATTCTGCACCCCAGATCACAAAGTATCAACATTCAAACGAGAATTAGTCCTACTATTAAAATGCATCAGCAACCAAACCATAGAATATATTTCATTATATTCGTTTATCCTTCTATATAAGGACACCACAACTAAGTCCAAATACTAAACGATATGAAGAGTGCGTAGATCCCACCATAAAACGACAACAGGAGTTACAGAAGCCGAGGGCATAGCGCAAATTGTTCAGATGCAGGAATGTTTTATCTTTTCCAGTAGGACCTAATACCTATCCTCTCAACCAGGTGTTTCGATACGAAGAGTGATCACGCAGGGAAGCATCATGTGGCTTGTACTCCATTACATAGCTATGTGGAAGCTTGAGGTGTCGCTTAATCGAGTCCCTTAAAGTCATTACTGCCTGTAGAATGAAATGCATATTATATCTTAGTAATACAGGTAGTAACCGAGGAGGATACAATGAACTACAAGAAGAAATTACCTGATGATCTGATGCATTACGGTTCCAGACACTGAGGATGTCCTCATTAAAGCGAATGCTGAGAACAGCACCACAGACGTTGTCACTATAATCCAGTTGGTCACCAACCAATGCTAGAACCTAACATATCACATGAAACTTATCACGGGGCTGTTCCTTGTTTAAAGAGGGTATAATTGTAAACTTTAATAATGCCAATGAAGCATTAATCGTCAACAACAACAGGATAGTTTTCTCATAGCATGAAGAAATGACTTCTGTTCAGTAAAGGATAAGCCAGTTACACAAGAAGTCAGGATTGTTGAGCTTATATATATATATATATATATATATATATATACTTAAAGTACTAGTATTTACAATGTAAATAGTATGGATTAAGATGTGAGTATGGATTAAGGCAGTCCAAAGGACTATCCCATGGGTGGAGTGTGTAAAGCATCATCAATCTTGAAATTCCTTTGGAGCCGTACAAAACCAAATTGGAAAAGTCATTGATGCATGGGTCAGGGTGGGATTGAGTGATGAGATGTTCAATTCAAGACCAGTATGCCCTTTGTTTGAAAGAGGGAAAAATACGACCAAATTGGAAAAAGTAGAAATGCTTATGTTTTTGTCTCCTTTCAGTTCCTTGATGAAATAAAAGAGGATTGATATCTGAAATGTATTTCCTTGTCTACTATCTAAAAAGAACGTATTTCCCTACTTACTCCATTTACTACTTAAAAAGGACATATTTCCCTACTAATCTGTCTACTATCTGAAAGGGATGTATTCCCTACTTAATCCATCTCTCATCCTAGCCTCACCCACCTCAAAGACAGTCAAGGACATTGTCTACATGCACATCTTATACCAAAAGAAAAGCAACTAAATTCAGTGAAAGCCTATTAAAAAAAACAAGAATAACCCACACATATATTCAGAGAACAAAGTAAAAAAGAAAAATGGAAGCAAAGGACATAATCATGTATCGTTTCTTTCCTCAACTTCCTTGATAACCAGCTCATCAATTAATTCAACTCATCAGTAAAAGGTAATCAGTGGTAATATATGCATTACCAATATTCAGTTCATAAAATTTATCTTTGTATTCCCTTAGGAACCATTTTTTAGCTAAAGGAATATATTATCTATATACAAGGCGTAAATATGATAATGAAAAAAGCACTGTTGATAAAATTCCATCTCTTTTATGAATTTAATATTTTTAATTTGAGGGATTGTTTTATCAACTGAAGTTGAAGGAGATACGAAGTCAATAGTTATATAATTTAATAAATAGAATTTAAACCATCAGTGTCCATGGCTTCATGCTTCATAACAGCATTCATGTCAACATCATGATATTTTCCTAATAGTTGTGCAGCAAGTATGACATTGAAGCCAATTATATTCCAAATTGATGAAAATGGGACAACAAACTTAAATGGCATTTGTACCAAAAAAGAAAGAAGGCTCAGGATAAGAGATTGTCATGTATCACACTGTGGATTCATAGTTCAAATGATATTATAATTCATAAATGAAGATAAAGCTCCAACAACTTCAGCTTTACAAAGAAGACATCATGTTCTAGCAAAACATAAGCAGATG